CCCTGGATCACTGCCACATTCTAAAATTTCACACCCACTAATACATCATTCAGCCATATTCTAACCCTGTAAAAGCTGACCTCTGAAAAACAGGCCATTTGTCACTGAGACACATTTTCTTTCTGTCTTTTGCATTGGACAGTTTCTGTTTTCAACACATTTATCTGTACGTTTTGAACCTGATCAGTCTCGATGCTGTCCGTCTTTAAAGAAGTTGAACCGGTTTCATACTTGYATTCTAGAAAGCAATAAAAGACTAAATAAGGCTTATGTTTTGCATTGCTTTAGCAGCCCAACCCTGTGACCGATGTATGGATGATGAAAACAAAGACGCCTTTATGGAGAGCCCTTAGAGATGCAGAGTTCACCCTCAGGTAGAGGCTTGCACTGTCTAAATCAYTTCTAAGGTGTTTGTTTGAAACAGCTCTGTGTGGGATCAAAAAAGTAGTAAGGCTGTTCCTCTGTTGCAAGTAAAATTGTCTTGATTTATTATATTTTTATTACTTCATTGTGTCATGTAATTTATTTTGACAAAAATAGTTGGCAATTCTAAAAGATGTTTTTTACACAAAATGTAGAATATTTTTATTAACATTGAGTTTTAACTTGAAACCAAATCAATACTCTGGTTTGTTTTAGAAGTTTTCTTTTTCCTCCAACAATAATTTCTACATTATTTCTGTATTTTTACTGCATATTTATTACCTTATTTCCAAATAATGTATAAAATATAATTTTTTCAAATCATACATGTCCTTTATTTAAATRAAATGTCAGATAAAACTATATACTATGTATTGTCTTGTTTATTAAACCATTTCATTTTAAATATAATGCAGCAACTTGTTTCAAACACTAGCATGTAAAATTTAGAAATGTTGATTTAACATTTTAAAAGACAAAAATAAATAAAAATAAAAATATATTAGGTCAGAAAATATGGTTGTTTCTTCAAAGTAAAAAATAAAATAATTTACCTCCTTGAGTCCAGTTGTATAGGCAAATCATTTATTAAATGAAGTTATAAAAATCCATGGAATTTATAGATTTCAGCATGTACAGTGCATTAGGATTTATAAAATCCTAATATTCACATGCACATTTATACATACCTTATATGTTTAGGTTATTTTATGTAGTAAAATTGATGTATCCTTAAAAGAGGTAGAAAACTCAAACTATAATGGAAGAGACAAAGAAACGGTCAACAAATATTTGCAAATTCTCCCAATCCATGCCTTCCTTCAGCTCAAGTTGATTAATGATGGACGAAGAAAAAGTGAAAAACCTTTCTTCTGATGAATCGATATCTTTCATTCTTGCTGGAAATCCTAAAACCGTCTTYTTAAAATGTCACAGACCAACATACCAGTTGGTACAGGCTTCATTCAGTAAATGATTCTTTATAGCYACATTATAAATGCACATTTTTTTCTAGCTACAAATATACATACATTTAATATATGTATATAGTATGTATG